GTTTGTGTGGTTTAGTTGCGATCATTCCTTGTTTGAGATGACTAATTATATGCTGTTATATATGTTGTGGGTGGCCGTATGGCGTGAATCCTAGTTTGTGATTCGTGAAGAGTGGAATGTGGCTGTTTGGCAATTTGGTGCATTTACTTGAATTGAATAGAAATGCATGTTGAGATCGAATGATGAATATGTATATATGTATTGTGATATGTATATATATTGTGAATGCATAATGAATATATGCGATGAATGTGAAGAATGCATGAGGATGTTTGTAAACATGTATGCATTTCAAGAAGTGTATGGAGTCATTTTGCATGTGAAGCGTCATGAAGTACATTCTTGTGCTGTTGATTCCTAGGAGAGTCTGATGAGTGATAGGATTCCTAGGAGAGTCCGATGAGTAATGTGATTCCTTGGAGAATCTGACGAACAATGTGATTCCTCGGAGAATCTGATGAACAATGTGATTCCTCAGAGAATCTGATGAACAATGTGATTCCTCGTAGAATCTGATGAACAATGTGATTCCTCGGAGAATCTGATGAACAATGTGATTCCTCGGAGAATCTGATGAACAATGTGATTCCTCGGAGAATCTGATGAACAATGTGATTCCTCGGAGAATCTGATGAACAATGTGATTCCTCGGAGAATCTGATGAACAATGTGATTCCTCGGAGAATCTGATGAACAATGTGATTCCTCGGAGAATCTGATGAACAATGTGATTCCTCGGAGAATCTGATGAGTTATAGTGTACCCGTGAGGGGCGTGAGTGAATTGATTCTTAGGAGAATCTGATGGACGATTAAGTCGGTATCGTATTACATTTGCGTAGAGTAGCGAGTTGGCCTCTATGATTTGCATTTATCATCTTTGCATGATGTTTGGTGAATAAACATGATTGTAGATGTTTATGTAAGTTGTTGATAATTGGCATGAATGGAATGTTTGAAGATACATATATGTGTGTATGTTTATGAAGTAGTATAAACATTGATGATGCATATTGTATATGCTTAGTGTTCTATTTGTAAATAGTTAATTGTGAATACATTGCGATGTACGGTTTAGTGAGATGAGTTGCGGTGAGAATTCGGAAGACGTTTTTGGACGTTATGTGTGTGTGTGTGTGTGTGTGTGTGTGTGTGTGTGTGTGTGTGTGTGTGTGTGTGTGTGTGTGTGTGTGTGTGTGTGTGTATAAATATATATATATATATATATATATATATATATATATATATATATATATATATATATATATATATATATATATATATATATATATATATATATATATATATATATATATATATATATATATATATATATATATATATATATATATATATATATATATATATATATATATATATATATATATATATATATATATATATATATATATATATATATATATATATATATATATATATATATATATATATATATATATATATATATATATATATATATATATATATATATATATATATATATATATATATATATATATATATATATATATATATATATATATATATATATATATATATATATATATATATATATATATATATATATATATATATATATATATATATATATATATATATATATATATATATATATATGTTTATGTGCATTATGTATTATGATATTGTTTATCGCCCTTCTGCTATTTTATAATGCTCTATGAGGCATTGCAGATTAGTTGGCTGGAAGTATTTTTGTGAAGCGTGACTTCATCCCTTTTTGTGCGGTCGGCTCTGATATGTAGCATCGGGTAGCTAGGGATTATTTTGATTCTTTTGTGATACATCTATGTTTGTATCTGCTGAAGAATGTTTATGTGAACATGCTGGTTGAATATTAATGATGTTGTAAATCAACTTGAATGATGTACATGTATGTGATTACATATTTTGGAAGTTATGAAATATTTAGATGTTTCCGCCTATGTTCTAAATATTTTCCTTGTGGGTGTTGCCCCGTTGTTGCTTATCTGTTGAGCAGGTGTTGTATATGTTGAATTTTTGGGTATAATGTGACATGCCCCTTTTATGCCGTGATATAAATGTACTCTGATGAAATTTTGAATTTATGCCTAAATGATTATTTGTATTATTTGGGAGTATAGAAAGGGGGTGTTACATTAACCGTTAAAACATCGATTCTACTGATTTAATTCATTTTTGCCCTAGAATGGAAAAACATGAAAACATCCAAACAAATCCAAACACACACATACAATCATATACATTGACAAGATAATGATATTTCACACCCTTACCTTGATTAAATCGAAGATAGAAGTTGTTCTTGAGCTTTCCAAGCTTTTTCCCTTTTTCCTTCTCTATTCTCCTCTTCCTCTTTCTTTCCCTTCTCTTTCTCTTATGTTTCTTTTCCTTCCACTTTCTCTTATATATCTTTCTATTCCATTCTATTCTTTCCATTATATTTTCTTCTCCCAAAATATCTACCAATCCATCTTCTCACAAAATATCCAACTTAACATTAAATAAGAAATGTCCAAAATACCCTCCGATCTATTTCCCCGAAAACTCTCAAAATCGGTAAAATAGCTTATTATGCAAATATAACATATTAACACATCACTTCCACCATTAAAATAATAATCACCCAATTAAATCAAAAAGATTCAACAAAATGGGAATAATCGAAATCGGGGGGTTACATAACACATTCATACCATATTTCTTGACAGTAACACTCACATACAATTTCACACCCAATTCCAATTAAAAAATTCAGCCAAAAGGCAATTTATTCCTAACGGAATTCAAGACTTAGTTGGTCATTCCAATTCACTTCAAACCTAGGCATATCAGGTCAAATTTTGCAAGGTTGTAGCAGTGAGGAAAAAGACAAGAAAGGGTACATTCTGAGCAAGCAGAAAAGGATACAGAGCATAGCAGAAGTAACAGAAGCTAGAGTTTTACCAAATTGGAAGTTTTTCTGAACACTAAAAGAAAGCATTGCAAGGATTACCATAATAAACATTCATCAGCAACTTTCAAAAATATCAAACCCTAATTTCCCACTATAAAAAGATGTTTTCAAAAGAGTTTTAAGGGCAGAGAAAATTTTCAAGAACATAAGCAGTCAAGTTCAAAGAAAAGTCATCTTTCACAGAGAAGAAAGTCCAAGACTCAATCAAGCTCTTAGCAGCAACCTTAGTAGTGGATTTCAGAAGTCTATTAACAACAATAGAAAAACACTTGACAAGAGAAGAGAGTTTGAGCAAGTTCAGAAGGAAAGTTTCTTACATGGATTAATCTTTGCTTTAATAACGATCAGAGAGGTAAATTTATGCTCCTTGTGTATGCCTCTGATTTTGTTTTCTCCATTGATATCTTCCTTGTATTCGAACCAAGCACGATGTAAAGAAATAGAGAGAAATCGTGAGAGGCGAGCTTTAGAGGAGAGAGCGCGAGGAATAGATGAACATGATTTCTTTGAGTATGGAGGCAAACGAGATTGCATTGATCGTGAGATAGTGAGGGAATGAGGGAACATTGTTGAAGTAAGAAAATGACGACGCATGGTTTCCCTTTCTTGTTTCGTTTCCGCTTCATATTCTTAGGAGTTTTTCTATCGTTTTTTTTCTACTTCAGAATGTAACGGATGAATAGCAGGGTTCATGTAACCCTCAGTCAGCTTATGAAAACTGGGTCAGACTAAGGCTATGTTTGGATAATTTAAAAATAACGGAGCGGAGCGGAACAGAATAGGATGGAGTGGAATGGAACGGAGCGGAATATAAACTCCATTCCACTGTTTGGATATTTTACAATAGAGCGGAACTAATATCTCATTCCACTGTTTGAGAATTGAACGGAGCGGAAAGCATTATAACTTTTTTATTCTATTTTTATCCTTTGCTACAATATTGATAGATCCAACATTCTCACACTAAAGTAATATATAAGTAATCATAGAAAAATATCAACTTAACACTTGAAAGAAATTAAAACATACAGTAATAAATTAAAATGTTCATAAATGAAACATGGTTATTATAACTTGAAATTGCAAAGACCAAGTGCACGAGTTTTGATCAACACCATATTGGGTATTCATAGTAATTCATAAATAAAATCAAGTTTTGATAAAATTAAATGATAAATATATGTCTATAATAGATAATGATATCAAGTCTTGCTAATAAAAAAGATAAATATTGATCCATAATAGATAATGACTCTCTTCTTTAAGCATTCCACAAAACCTGCAAAAATAAAATAAAATAAATTATGCAAATATTTCATTCGTTAAAGATAAAAAAGAATACTCAAAAGTGATAAATAAATATGTTACCATTATCAAAAGGGATAGTCTGGAACAATGAGATGTAACATTTCCTTCCGCTTATCTATTGGAATTTCATTAAAAGCTTTCAATGCATCGGCATTCTTAACAAGGTACATGTATACAAGAGGCAAAGAACTTGGTTCAACCCCAATCTCGACCAATTCATCCCAAATATCTCCACCATTAGCATTTTTACTCTGTTTGACCAGCTCCATGGAATTCATTTCAAACACATCAACCATTTTTTTGAAAGTTTTGGAAATTTCAATCATGCTTGTATCATCTTCAATAACCTTCTTTACTCGCTTCTTAGTCCTAGATGATGATACATCTTGAGAATTGGTAATAGAAGGCCTTGTAGAAGAATTGTTGGAATGATGTTCATCATCATCAAATCCCTCCAAAATAACTTCATTGGTTTCAACTAAGTGGTCTATTTCTTCGATGGTTGTGCCATGACTTTTTTCAACATTTGCAGCCTTTTTTGCTCTCATTTCAGCAGCTGTACCTTCATGCTCTCTTGTTGCTCGATCTTTTCCAAAAAGTTTGGCCAATTTATCATAAAATAATATTGGCTTGTTTTTCCATTCAGCAGCTTCGGTTTTGCCTACACCAAAATAAACGAAACAATGCATCACTTAAAAAGTTTCTAATGAGTGAACTCAACTAAAAATAATCGGGTAAGTGTATAAAACAATTATAGTAAATAATACCTCAATTAGCTTGTTCCAAACATTATCTTCGGCAATCCACATATTTGTTGTTGAATCCCATCCAAATCCACTCAAGCCATTCTGGAAAAGGTCATAACAACAATTGAACTTTGTTTTTATGTGTTTCATGTGATCTTTTATTTTTTCTTTGGAAATTGGTTTGTCCGGAAAGTGAGTCTTCAATTCTTTAAGAATGATATCCATAGCGCTTATTGTCATACTATTACCATTTTTATTTCCCAATGTTTGTTAATGCAAATATGCATCAAGCAAAACTTCATCCATAGCAGTTGTCTAATTGCATGTTTCTAGACTTTTGAGTTTCCTCGGCCTCTTTAAACTTGCTTCCATGTCTATTATTAAAAAATACAATGAAGAATATAATAACTTATGCACAAACTCAAATGTAAAGGTTCATCATACACTAAAATTCATTCCATAAATTACAAATAAAAAATTCAATCCAAATAAAATTCTTCAAAGCATTATTCATAAGAGTAACAAATTATTAAGAATAATTTTAATAATCTAGCCACATAGAACCAGCAACATTATCTCTAACTGGCTCTCCGCTAATCATATCATCGTTTTCTTCTCTATGATCTTGATGACCCTCTTGAACATCTCTTTCGTTTGCAAGCTCATCTTGCACCTCATCAATTAGAGTTTGATTGGAGTCTTCACCCATCAAATAGTTGTGTAAAATGCAACAAGCAAGGATGATTTTATTTTGAGTTTTAATACCAAATGTAGGCTCTGTTGCAATTAGTAAAATTGGAAATCTTTTCTTCAACACTACAAATGCACATTCAATAGACATTCGTAATGACGAATATCGATGGTTGAATAACTCACGAGGGATTCGAGGTGGATTTCTAGAGTATTCTTGTAAATGGTATCGTTCTCCCCTATAAGGTGTAATGAGACATGCTTTTAAAGGGAATCCTGCATCACCCAGATAATATTTTCCTAAAAAAAATAATGAGTCCATTAGTTTAGCTAATCTAAATACTTATACAAATATTTTTTTATTACTTTTTATTACTTTGTGGAACTTTAAGAGGGTGCTCACGTGCCAACGCACTCTTAACTATTCTTGAGTCAAAAGCAGTTCCTTCCCATCCAACCAAGACATATGTAAATTTCAAGTCAAATGAGCACGCAGCTAACACATTTTGTGTGGGATAATCTTTTCTACCACGGTATCTAGGTGTTAGCTCTATTGGAACTTTAACACGCACATGCGTGCAATTAATTGCTCCAATGCAGTCCTGGCATTAAATTTATATATTAAAAGTGTACAAGAAAACTAATCAATATTTGTATAAGAAAAAAAATTTGTTTACCTTAAAATACGGGTAGAATCTATGGCTGTTAAGTATCTACGGAGGCACTTGTGTTCCATCAGGTTGTTTTAAAAAATTTCCCTCCACCTCTATCAAAGCATCTAGCACTCTATGAAAATGACGACTAACAGTTTCACCAGAGCGTCTAAAAAAGAAAGACATCACACGGTTTCTAACATTATGTCCTACTATATGAAGAAATTTTGCTACTTGTTCTTCGATAGACGCTCTTCGTGTATGTGTAAGTCCACCTTGCTCTTGTAATAAGGTGCACAGGTTTAAGAAAGCTTTGGGACCGATATGAATGATGTCATAACATCGCTCACTTCCTACAATATGTTTCATCAACTCATTTCTAACTTTCTCTCTTTGCTCTATGATTCTATTAGGTATTTGGGATCTTCTACACTTATTTTTTAGCGAACAAATTAGAACAATAATGATAGATACTTGAAGAATCATCATTTGAACCAATTTCATATATTTGATTCTTATGTCTTCGTTAGTCATCTATAACAAATTAAACAATAAAATTTACTCTAATTATAAATCCATATACAAATAAATCAAATTAAAATATTTATAACAAATAAAATAAATCATACTAAAATTAGAACAAATAGATTAAGAATTTTTAAAACAAATCAAATATATAATTTCAATCCCAAATTAATTAAGAATCTTTATAGCAAATCAAAACTTATGTTACTAATAATTATTTTCCTATTATACTACATAATATTATTAGCCAAATTTATCTTACAGTAACTAATTTCAAAACTTATGTTACTAATAATTATGTTACTAATAATTTTAGTTTTTCTCTATACATAAGGAACAATAGTTTTGCAACAAATTTAATTTCTACTTTTGTTCTTAATAAAATGTTAATTTAACATACAAAACACTATAAAGCAACATAAATCATAATTTTAGGATTTGTTTTTAGTAACTATACATAATTTCTGAAAAATGAAAAAGATATGAACATGAAGATAAATCAAGATATTTAATTTAATAGAGCACACATATAAATACAGGTAAAAAAATGAGAAGAAATATGATGTACCTTGTTAGGGTAGAAGAAAGGTAGACTCTTTGCAAGTAAGAAGAAAGCCTGTGAAGGAGAAAAGTTGTAATGAATGAATAGAAAAATATCACGTTGATTGAAATAAGGAATAGGAACGGTTAATAATAAAAGTGAAAATTTGGAGGATAAAATTTTAATTATTTTATTAATTGATTTCATTCCATTGGATACACCCCAATTTGGGGGAATGAAAAATGGGCCAAAATAGTGGTATTGAATGGAATGTGTTCCATCATACTTCATTCCATTCCATTCAATTTTTGCAAATCCAAACAATGGAACATAACTCCACTCCACTCCATTCCATCCATTTCCATCAATCCAAACAGACCCTAAGGACTCGTGGCTGACCCGCCCCAATGTTATTCATGTGGGCTTGGGTTGTTTTGTTTTTCCTTTAAAGCTTAAGTTTACATTGTTGTCTCATTTTTGCTGGTAATGAGTTAATATTGTTCTTTTTTTTTAAGTTTAAGAAGAGCATAACATGTATTTTTTAGATTAGTATTTTTTTTTTAGATTAGTATTTTTTAGATTAGTAATTTTTGAGATTAGCAATTTTAAGATGATAATTTTAGGATTAATAATTTTTATTCATTAATAATAAAAGGGAACCAAAAAGTGATTAATACCAACAAAAAAGAGTTTATTATTATTTATATTAAACATTTTTATTTAATATTAATTAATTAAAATCTTAATTAATTTTATTAAATATCCATGTTTGATTTAATTAATAATTTGTGTGTATAACTTTGTGAGATTTGACTTGTGTTCTCGAGCCGACTAACTTGACTTTGTCTTACTTGTATTGTGTGCTTATATTGTGATGATACCATTTTGACTTTTGTTTCTCAAATCGTTTTTAAAATAAATTCTCGATTCACATTGAGCCATTTTTTATCCTGTAAGTCAATTACTTTTTTAAGCATCGCCATCAGCCTCTTGATCACCGTACACAACATTCATAGCTTACTCCTGGGCTACCTTACAGTGAGAACTATTCGATCAACTATTTTTAGTTGGTCGTTTTAAAGACTAGCCAACATTGCTAGTGCACACGATTAAAATTCAATTCAATTGATTTTCTTTACTTTTCTTTGCTTGTTTATGTTCTTGCATATTAATTCTAAAACCCTAAAGCATACTTGATCCATATGTCAAGCCCTACCCCAACTTTTGTAAGCCGATTGCCTTGTGCATCGCCATCGGCCTTACCTTTACACAATTAGGATCTCCTTACTATTTAGTTCAAACCTGTAATTATTTCGAACGCAAACTCAAACCTCGATCAATATCGAGTACCTTTTTTTCAAATCAAACTAAAACACTTAATAACTATTAAATACTTTCTTTCAATAAAAGATGAAAATAGAGATGAATTGGTATCTTCGAGTTCTCTCTTCATTGTTTAAGTGTGAGGAGTCTTTTTCACACCCGAATAACCGTCATCTCTAAAAAAATTAGAATACTCCTCACAACAAATTTTTTATAATAAACTAAATCAAATTTATTCTCTCAATCACTTAGATGAAAAAAAAAAGAGTCGAGTCTTCGATTCACTCTCCCGATTACTTGGGCTCGAGGAGTCTTACTTAAGCTTTCAAGTAATTGTCATTCGCTTAAAATACTTTAATTATATCAAAATCCTTTCACAATTAAGGTTGAAAAAGAGAGAGAGAGAGAGAGAGAGAGAGAGAGAGAGAGAGAGAGAGAGAGAGAGAGAGAGAGAGAGAGAGAGAGAGAGAGAGAGAGTCAAGTCTTTGATTCACTCTCCCGATTATTTGTGCCCGATGAGTCTTTCTTAAGCATTCAAGTAATAGTCACCCAAACAAAACAATCAACATATTAAATCAATTTCTCGCCTCCGTGCGACCAAACTCTTTCTTAAAAGAGCATATTATTTTTGTTCTACCACAATACAGGTAACACATAAGAGTCCACGAGCGAGCGGCAATACACCTAACTGCTAGAACGTGAACGTTACCATTTTTCATTAAAAAAACCAACAAACTGTAGTCCGAATTACGGACGCTCTGATTTCTCATACCTGTTGAGAATATTTAGGCATAGGATTGTGATATCCTAGCGAGAAACCTTTCCTCTTTTCCACCGTAGTCCCACTAACTACGGCGCTTTGATTCTTCACTTCTTACAAGTGAAGATACATAGTCACAAGGGCCCAATTCATGACGAGCACCCTAATAAAAAAACCAATCATTTCTCCTTAGCAGTCTAAACTCTTTTACCTTACCTTTTAGCTTTATTCCTTTAGAAGAAAACAAACAACCTTAGTTAATCTTATCACGAATCGAATTGAGAGTTTCTCGTTGAGTACAACGGACGTGAGGGGGTTCTAACAGCTTCCCCTCGTGTAACCGACTCCCGAACCCAGAATGTCGTTGTGATGACCACGTTTTTTCTCTAAAGGTTTTATCTATATTTTCCTTTCCCTCTTTGGGATGAATAAAATTCGGTGGCGACTCTGTGTTTTCTTTGTCTATCGCGAAGGTCGTTACCATTTTTTCAAAGTGCGACAAGATGAAACCTCTCAAGTATTCTTTTTGTGTGCAAGTGAGGGATTTCATAGGCTTCATGGTCCATAAAAAAGGAATAGAGATTAATCAGAACAAGACCAAGGACATCATGGAGGCGAAAGCGCCTTCGACAAAGAAGGAGTTGCAGTCTTTGCTAGGGAAGATCAATTTCCTAAGGAGATTTGTTTCTAATCTAAGTGGCAAGACTCAAGTCTTCTCACCTCTACTTCGACT